TACAACGTTTCACCTCCTCCTCCTCCACCTCCTCTCCCTCCTCACCCTCCTCCGCGACCATCGCTACCCTGTTCTCTATGCCTGCATCTGATCCCCGCTTCACCACCCTTCCCTTACGTTTTTCCTCTCTTCTTACCTATGCCAAACGGCGCGCGCGCGTGCCCGTTCTCCTCACCCGCACTCCTCTCTCGTCGCCCTCCTCATTCCAGCCATGCTCTCCAATGCCCAGCCATTGCCCACCCGCAGCTTCCATCTCCATTCCAGCTTTCCATTTTCCTTTTCGTATCATCCACCTTCTCATCTTCCATTTTTCTTTTTTCTTTTTTTTTGCATTCCGTGCCCTTGTCATTTCATATTTGGATTTTAGCCTGACTCTAAAGTTTCTTTCTACTTTCGTCGATTCGTCCCTTCCTATCAAGGAATAAAATTAATCATCGAACATAACGACCCACGCATCTTCCTCGGTCCGATCGACCTTCTTCCCTTTTTCCCTTCTTTTCGTTCTCCATGAGAATTTTCGCCGCCGTTCTTCTTGGCTACGTATTCTTTCTCCATCCTTATCCTTTTGCTTCTCTCTTTTTTCCTCGCTCTCTATTCTTTTTTCCTGCATCGTTCTGTCAACCTCCCCGCCTTCCTTTCTCTCGCCTTCTCCACCTCTGCATATGCCTGCCCTCCCCTCTCATGAACCGGCCGATAATTTTAGATTCTCGGCGCAGTGGCTCGACACTGCTACTGCTCAGCCTGCGCCGCGCACTCGAATATCGACATTCGACATCCGCGAGAACCGCGAGCACATGCGACCTCACCGAAACCCCGAGGGAGAGTTCGGACTACGTACTTAGAGAGGGGAGTATCAATGCACTAGCTAACCTTCCCCCTGCATCCTTGCTGCTTCGCTTCCTCGCTTTCTTACTTTCTACCGTATTTTTCTCTATTATACGCTGCTTCTTCTTGTGCTTTCTCAATAGCGACTTTGATTTTTTCCTCCTTTCTATAATCAATATCCTTTCTCTTCTACTATGCTAAAATGGTTCTAACATTCTTCCGTTTTTACTCTTTTATCCATTCCTATACGTATAAAGTCATTTCCATCATGTTCTCTGTTTTTTCGTCGTTAGAATTCATCGTTGGACGTACGTGTGTCTTTTGATAGCATTGCACAGGCTCGGAAGATTGAAATTTTTACGTTTGCTCTTACATTACGTCGTTACGTAGATCAACGTCAACAAATTCACCTGAAAAAATTCAATACGGAATTTTCGAACCATGTACCGGATTGATCAGAGATTGGAGCAAATATAATTCGACCCTAAGCCAGTCAACCGGAAAATTGATGCATATACCTCGAGTTCCAACTCGCGAGTCAATATTATGTGTACTAGTTATTTTTAATAACAAAATCATGCATGAACTTCTTACGTTCACGCGAAATGTTTCTTGTAGACGTGATCGATTTTTGTATTATCGATGTACGTCTTTCTTGATTCGCACTTTTACCAATTACAACGAGATCGACGGAGAAACGAATAAACTGAAATAATATCGAAGTAAACGCTAAAGAACTTTCGACTGCTTAATTAATAATACTTCATTGTTATTTTAGCATGATAGATAGATATTCCCTTTTAATTCGTAGCCATAAAATTATTCGAACTTCATAGAGAGCGTCAACGTCATCATTCGTACCAACGTTATAGTCGTCGATCTCTTCCTACATTCGATTTGAACAAGTGTCGCATTGTACAGTGGTTTTGGTTTTTTTATCTGAATTTGTGTACATGTTGTTCCACGATGAGATTAACAGGATTATATTGTACCCTTTTCATCGCATGCTGCTTATCATTTAGTATGTTAAGTAAATACTGGTTCATCGAATAGTTTTGTTTATTTACGAATGTTTTTAGGCCACGCCCTGGAATGCTATGTATGTACCAATCAAGAGGGTAATCGAGAAAAATGTTTAAAGAGTACAAAAATCTGTGAACAGAGTCAAGACACGTGTTTAACGGAAATTAAATGGGGAAGTAAGTTTTAAAGTTTCCATAGCTGACAATTCGTTTGAAAGCAACATTTGAGGTTATGTTTACACTAACCAATAATGATGATTTAAGTCCTTGTCCACATCGTATATCGTTTATAGGTACACCATATTGGTCACAAGGTGCGAAGAAACAGTTTTATGTTTCAAAGAGATGTGCAACAAGAAAAGAATGCGAAAGAATAAAACATTCTAATATGGGAGATTGCACGTATATATGGTACGAAGACTGGAAATGTTCCGATTGTTGTCAAGGAGATAAATGCAATTATTATGTTATCGTAAGTCATAGTTTACATACTGATTCTAAAAGCTTCATTAGCGATATATACTATATACGTGGAATTTGCTTCTTTTCTTTCAGTCTGCAGCGGAGAAAATACATGTTTCCTGGCTGATCGTAATGATATCTTTGCATAGTTTATGGCATATAGTGAAATGACGAATAATGTCAAAAGATATTGCTCCAGCGTCGGCCTCTCGCAACTAGTGATATTCCTTTTCATTAGAAAAACAATGTTTTTCAACCGTGCATGGAACGAATAATTATATATTATATATATTTTAATTGTAACTATATATAAGACGATACTTTGCATGTATCTGAAAGGAACATATTTAGGAAAAAAAGACGATGCGGAGTATTTCTGCGATAAAAGCAATTCATACTCTCCGTATCGTATAATCTATAACATAAGGTAAAACAACGGTGGAATTGAATTTGAATCCGTCCTTCGCTATAACATGTATACAACATCTCTTTGTATATAACATCTGTTCAATCCGTCCAAACACTCTTTTTATACATTTTGTTAAGAGAATTTTATTAAATAATGCACTAACAGATATTTTGTACTTGTTGATAAAATTAATAAAATTACATGTAATATGTAACACGCTCTTTTTTTAAGGTATTTCTTCTAGTACAATCGCTCGCAAAAGTATGTCGCGCGAAGGCATAGAAGTAACTTTTTTGATAACCTAGTCCCGCGTCTTACGTAGAGACACGCATAGATGTGTTATATCTGTACACATGCATGCTTTCTATTTTTTCAGAACTTTATCGAATCACATACTTGGTACTTTCTTACCTCAAAAGTGGAACTGCTAAGCCTCCCCATTTTTTAATATGAAATTTCTAACACAGTTTCACATATTAATTTTTTTGAAAAATTCCTAAGAAAATTTTCGTTGCAATTACGTCTTAAATATTGGTGTCGACTTTGATATCGCTAGGCTTTTTTAAATTTTAACTAAATGTACACTGTATCCTTTTCCACGCGCAGCTAACATATAAAAAACTCATTTTCTCTGAAAAATATCTTAAAATGTATATTATACATCCATTTATCGTAATCTACCAACGTATCTCTTTACAATGGATCGTATATCACTTAAAGTCGCTTAGAGGATATTCTATATCTGATGCAGATAAGCAGAATCAAACACGGTTATTATTTAGGGACGCAATTCCCACAAAGGATAAGTTCGTATCGTTCACAGCATCAAGCAGCATCGTTCGAATCGACCCTTGGATAAACGTCTTTTTGCTTGTTACATTGCTTGTGTAAGTATATACAAAATCAGCATTTTTCCTCATTCTGTATACGCTATAGTATCCGGTTAAGTTAATTGAAATAATAAATAAAGATATCATATATTCATGGGAAAATATACGTGTTACTGCGTAAGAAATATTAAATAAGAAATATTTGGTAAAATAAAATATAATCGAAGAGAAACAGGAATAAATATTACGCGTACGTAATAACTATATATGTATGCACGTGTACATGTTCGTCGCTCGCCTATGTGCATCGGTTATTCGACGTATCAACTATGTGGATGATAGATTGAACTTTACTGCTTGCAAACACAATGCTTGACGTCATGCACGATCGAAATAATATCAAATTAATATATATATTCGAACTTGAAAAATGTAGACGATTTTTATCATAATCGAATTTAAAGTTATGTATATCGGTCACGCTTAAAATACGATAGTACGTCCAAATACGAGAGGAAATGTTTAATCCACGATCCGATGAAATGAAAAGTACGATCCGTTTCATAAAACAGTAAAAGAAAAGCTATCTGAACTTATCGATGACAAAAATCAACAAAATAAAAGATCGTGCGATTTAAGATCAATATTACAAGCAAGTGATCGATATAGACGACGCTGAACAGTTCTAATATACTCACAGCGGCGAAGCGATTCCGACCAATTGAATGATTCTATGTGCTCGCACCGTGACTGATGGTTGAGCTTGATTTAAAGACATTAATTAGCGCTCCTTTAGTCGTGTGCCGAATGTTCAGTCTATAGTCGGTCGCTTATTGTAGTCTCTCTACATCTGCAGACAAAAATGGATTCTCCTTTCACTGTACTTTACCCGGTGAGCAAATTAGAAAGATACCACGATATTTTCGAACAAACCGTCTTGATTCTTCGTCTCTTCTTCGTCGTTTCTATTTTTCATTTTCTTTTTTTTTTCTTTTTTTTCTAAAAAAGAAATTCCTGCATATCGCGCGTAACAAACGTTTATTTTCAGTTATGCGATATGAAGAATTGGAAGTTACAAAATCTGTACAGAACGTTTAGTCGGAAAAAAGAAGTGGATCTTCCTCAGGATACAAATTTGGCGAGATGTCTGTCAACATTGGATCTCACAGCTCTCGGAATAGGTTCAACTCTCGGCGTGGGTGTGTACGTTCTCGCAGGGTCTGTTTCAAAAACAACCGCAGGGCCAGCCGTAATAATTTCGTTTGCTATTGCCGCAATCGCGTCCATGTTCGCAGGTACAACTCATATCCGATTCGTTCGTTCTGTTTTACCCTAAATAATATGAATAGCAAAGAAGAAACTATTTAGGTCTCTGTTACGCGGAATTTGGTGCAAGAGTCCCACGTGCTGGATCAGCATATATATACAGCTACGTAACGATGGGAGAATTTACAGCTTTTCTGATCGGTTGGACGCTAATTCTCGAATACGTAATTGGCTCGGCTAGCGTAGTACGAGGACTGAGCACCTACGTGGATAACTTGTTCAACAACACTATGCGAAATGCGTTTGAAACGGCAGCGCATATCGACATCAATCACCTCTCTTCTTATCCGGACTTCTTCGCCTTTGGGATCACTCTAATCTTTTCTGGTAAAGAACTATCGACCGAATAAACATCGATATCATACAAATTATCTAGGCACGCATTTACCCACTAAAATATCCATTATTTCACAATCCCAATCTATTCGAAATTTAACACAGCTGCGCTGGCGTTCGGAGCAAAGGAGTCTTCGGTGGCGAACAATATCTTCACCCTTACAAATCTCATGGTAGTTTTGTTCGTGATAATCGCCGGATCTCTCAAAGGTGAGTAACAGAGTATTTAAACTCGAAGTGATTGTTTCTTCGTGTGTACGTGCGTGTTTCTATTTATATGCACTTGGCGTAAAGCTGATATAACCAATTGGAAAACGAAGCCCACGTGCACGGAAGAAAAATGTGATTACGGAAGTGGTGGATTCGCGCCTTATGGCATAGCGGGTGTTATAACGGGAGCAGCAACGTGCTTTTACGGATTCATCGGTTTCGATTGCGTCGCTACAACGGGAGAAGAAGCGAAAGATCCCCAAAGATCGATCCCAATAGCGATCGTTGCCTCGTTGACCGTCGTCTTTCTAGCATATTTCGGTGTCTCTATGGTGTTAACCACCGTCCTTCCTTACTACGAGCAGGATGCAGAAACCCCGTTTCCTCATCTATTCGAGAGTATCGGTTGGAACTGGGCGAAATGGCTGGTAACCATAGGTGCTATTTGTGGTCTATGTTCCAGGTAAAACTTCCGATAAGTACGATACAATATAATTACGCACAAATATATGTGTAAATGCATGTACACCTACGGAGATGTTCCGATGTAAATGACAGCAATCTTTTATGCAGTTTACTGGGTGCGATGTTTCCTTTGCCGCGAATTATTTATGCAATGGCATCCGACGGATTGATATTCGAGTGGATGGGAAAAGTTAATTCACGATTTCATACGCCTCTCATGGGTACCTTCTCAGCAGGAATTCTCACAGGTTCGTATTTTACGATTTTTCTACTGCTTGATAATACCCAATATTCAGCGGGTATTTACACTAACTGTTAAATGTATGAAACTCAACTACAATTTCAGGTGTACTAGCTGCGATATTTGACTTGCAACAACTCGTAAATATGATGAGTATCGGAACATTGCTCGCTTATTCGATCGTCGCAACATGCGTACTAATGCTTCGGTAAAAGAATAATATTCGTTTGTTTTCATAGAAAATATGGCAATTTAATAATGATGGAATAACTTGCAATTTCTATTATGTATATATATTGTATCATTTCAGGTATGAAAAAAGCGAAGCGTATGAAAAAAAGGGAGATCGCGATCCAAGAACCTTAACATTCATTGCGAAACAATTAATTAACGCTAATGGTTTAAATCATTCTACAAAATTAACATCCCAAATCGTTACGTGTCTTGTCGTGTGTTATGGTATAGTATAGTATATTTACTATTTCGATTAACCAAGAGTTTTACTATTGATCTTTAACGATTACAAATATTGTATCATTTACTGGTAACATATGTTTTACAGATGTTCTGTGTATTTGCATCGGCATTACTGTTTCGATTTTTATCAATGAAATAACGAGCGGTAATGTTACATTTGTCGCTCTATTAGCAATTCTACTATTAGCTCTAATCATTATTCTTACGTTTATTTATCTTCAACCTTCTTCTGGAAAGAAGCTTGCCTTTTCGGTATATACTGTTTCCATTCTCGTTATCGTTCACTTTTATTATGAACGTTCAATAACAATTTTGACCGCATACAAGAATATATTTTTAGGTTCCGTTAGTGCCATTTTTACCTGCTTTCAGTATTCTTATTAATATATATCTTATGATGATGTTAGACAAAATGACTTGGGTGAGATTTTTAATATGGATGATAGTTGGTAAGTAGACTATATCAAAATAATCGATTACGTTTAAATTAAATAATCGAAGAAATGATTCTTTTGTTCCTTGCAGGACTTGGAATATATTTCTGTTATGGTGTTTGGCATAGTAAAATGAGGAAAGATAAATGCAAGAAATTACCTGAAAACAGTTGTGATAACGGAGCAACATGGGAAACCAACAATTTTGCCAGACTTCAATGATACACTATTTCCTCTATTTTATTTTCATAATAAAAGTTTTGTATATACCCAAAGTTACTTAATTTGTAAATGATTTAATATTGCGATAAAATGATTCGATGCCTTAATGATAAGAGAAAGGTAAAGATATTTAAAAACGAGCGTTCTTTATATTATAATCGAGTCTATTAAAAAATAAAATTATATAAAAAGTTTATATTTTAAAGGCCAAAGAGAGATTTGAGATCGTTAAGCGTAAGTTTCGAGACAGCGGAGTTCTTATCGCCGCTGAGAACATTCTGAGCTATTTCGATTTTCCTTTCTTGCAAATTTTTTATACGCTCTTCTATGGTATCCCGACAGATAAATCTACGAAATATAATACAACATTAAATAACGGTCTCTTCTCGTGAACTTTTGCAAATGTTACAGCAAAGACTATTACTAACTTGTATATGAAGACATCTTTTTTCTGTCCGAAACGATAGATCCTATCTTGAGCTTGCACTTCTAATTGCGGATTCCAATGAATATCTATTAACAGCAAATGATTTCCACCTACCAAATTTAATCCAACCCCTCCAGCGGTAAGCGAAAGCAATAATATTTTCGGGTCATCGTTCGGAGCGTTAAATGAATCCATTATGCCCTGTAAAAATACCTCACACGTTTCAAACAGCATTATTCGATGTGATCGAAAATTATCACTTCATTAAAAAACTACCTGTCTTTCCTTAATCGGCACATTGCCTGTGAACATATTAAAACTAGCGCCTTTTATCGAGGCCAAACAAGATGCAATAATATTCAACGTACTCGTCCATTGTGAAACGATAATTATTTTGTCATTTTTTTGTAAAATGTCTGTAACTGTATCAAGCACCTTCCTTATCTGCGTTTAAGATGCAAGTATAAGTAAATTCGAATCAGCCAACCGATGCCAAACAACAAATACAAATGCGTGATATTTCATACTTGAGAATATGCAAGATAACTCACTTTCGAGCTCACGCGATCGCACTTAAACACAGGATTTTTAGACGTGAGTAAATTACTAGCTACTCTGCGATCGATGCCAATCTCTTTTTCGTTTGTCTCCTCCTCGTTATTTTCTGATTCTTCTAATGTTATATTATTCATTTGTGATAATAAATCTGAATTGACGTCTTCCTTTTCCCTTATATCGCTATCTTCTATATCTTCTTCATCTAGCATCGAGTGAATAAGTGACGGGTGAACACAAATTTGACGTAATCTTAGTAAAAGAACCAAAATTTCGTGCGTTTTGACATCAGCGTGTAATGATAATAACTTGTTTTGCGCCTTAGTAAACTGAGTATTTTTATCTGACAATCAGTAGAAAAAACAAACAATTATTTTGATGCATTACTAACAAAATATAATGTATACAAGTACTTACTTGGATTCGAAAGAAACGTTGGTTTATCATATTTTCCAACAGCTAAATCAACCATATGATCCTTATCAGCTCTTTGAGCCAAAAATTGAGCAAACAATGTACGAGAATATATTAACACTTTTTCATATACCAACTGTTCCTCTGGATCTAGCTTTATAAGTATCTCCTCTACAAATTTTTCTGGAAGACTTTCTAACATGCCATTTGCTTGAAGTTCTTGTTTTGTTCTACGTAACATTAACGTTTTCATCACAGTTGCCAATCGTTGACGACCAGCGGTTGACTTATTATCTACCCAGCGTTTCCATACTCGTAAGTCGTCGAAAGGAGTACACTTGAGAAACTTTAAAATAGGATATAAATCCATTTCCTTGTTTTGGATGGGTGTACCAGTAAGAGCCCATCGTTTATTCGCTACTAAACCGCACACTGACTGAGAAGCTTGACTTTTATGATTCCGGATTACATGCGCTTCGTCCAATATAATACGTTCCCAATGAATTTTGTAGGCCATAGAGTTACTCTTAAATTCACGGAGCAATATATTATACGTTGTAATAACAACATCGTTTTTTGCTAATCTTTTTGGTACATTTTCCCGATTTGTACCATGATAAACTTTAACAGAGAGCATACCACGTTTACATCTACGATCTATTTCATTTTCCCATTGTGATAACAAGGAAGCGGGACAAACTACGAGTGTACCTCCTTTACAACGCTGTACCATTGATGGATCACAATGCACCCATTCCTCGGAATTCGATTCTTCCGATTTTCCTTTAGCAATATTGGCTATAATCAGAGATATCATTGTTAAAGTTTTACCTAAACCCATATCATCAGCGAGAACACCGCCAGGAGGCCTCTGTTGCTCTCTCCACATTAACCATGCCAACGCGTGCTGTTGATGAGGCATTAATTTTACTTTTAAGCCATGTGGATCTTCCGCTTTGTCTTCCTCGGTCGGTCTAGCTACAAGAGATCCATGTAAGTCTTGCAACCTATCAACCGTCAAGGATCGTTCTCTGTCTAACGTTGCTTGAGCTTGTTTCCCAAGTTCTCCACTTTCTGCGGATGACTTTAATTTCGATGGTATACTGCATGAATCATAATACGAATTAAATTTTTCAGAATATGGCTCTTTCTCCTTCTTTTCTTCTTCGACAAATGACATTTCTTGCCTTACAGAGTGTGATTCAGACTTAATAATTTGTGTCAAAGGTGTTCTTTCTAATTCAGCTGCAATTGTTTCTATTTCTCTTTCTTGCATTACAATACTTTCATGTAATCTTTTTCCTTTATCTGGCAATAAATCGATATTACCGACAGTAAGCAATAACTGGAAATATATATAGCATCTACAATGTATATTTCGCTCTTAACCATTACTACCTATTAACTATTGGAATTTACCTTTGTCTTACTCAATTCATTTTGTAACTGTTCCATTTTACAAACAAGCAGAGCTCTTTTCTGTGCTATCACTGGATCTATATCATTAACACCTATTTCTTGTTTTGCTAAAGATATTGCAGTTCCAAGCTGTGAACTACTTTCTTCATCTGTATGTGATTCTGTAAAACAATTAAAACATAAAAATAATAAATTTATGATATATATGTGTATATATATATATATATAGTTTTGAAGTAAGAAATGTTGAAAATATTTATACCCGAATCAGATGAAAAATATGATTCTTCACATTTTTCTCTTTTTTTAGAAACATGTTCTTTCATCAAATTATTATTGCTGGATATATTTTTAGATATATTAGAAGCATTAGTTTCTAAATTATCTTGGATTTTCCTTGGAACATCTTTCAATCCTTCTTCCATTAATATTTTGTCATTACTCTTCATCATTCTTTCAATCTCGTCTAGCAAACATAACTAATCATATCAAATATAAAGCTATTATATTTACTAATGAAAATAATCGAATTTGATACCATTTGGTGTACTGTCATCAGTATTATGTTCTTCGCTACTACTGATTGATACAGAATCATTTTCATTATGATCACTGATATCTTCACTGTCAGAATACTGAGGGATATGCTTTTTAATTCTACGTCTAATTCCTTCCTCTGTTGACGATAATTCTTCGGATGAAGAATCTCTAAAATATAAAGAACATAATTAAATATTAAATTTCGGAATATTACATTGAATAAAATGTACTACTTACTCCTCCGCTAATGAATTTACGCTAGCTTCACTACTTTCAATTACAAAAATCTGTTCTTTTTCGGTATTCTCACTGTCTTCATCGCTATCGGAAATAACATAAGATCTCGTTTTCTTTGTAACACCGGGCGAATCTTGCCACTGATTCAAGCTTTCCTCCATTTGAATTTCTGTAAACTTTATCAATTCTACCTAATTGTAAAAAGTACAACATTTGTATTAAATTGTATATATAAATGTTAGAATAATCCAGAATATAAATAAATATCTAATTCTTACAATTGAATCACTTATTGACAAGAAGTTTAACCGAAACTTTCAAATTGTGAAGTATCACGTAAATATGAACTATGTAATAACATAGTATGACATGCTATATTATTTTTTTAATGATATGAAACAAAAGTTATAAAAAGTAATCGTGATACTAATGAAATAAGCAAGAACAAATGGAAAGATATTTACTGGAAAGATATTTATTGAAGATATTGGAAAGATATTTATAAATTGAGAATCAACGAAAATATAAAAATTTTATCAAGTAAGTCAATGGTTTTCTTTCACTAGAGTTTTTCATGTAGAAATGTCAAAACTAAAAGATTTCTGCCAAGCAAATGAGAATGTTCACATTTATAATACTGGTTGTTTTCAGACTAGTGCTACTCTCAGCGGCCAAGTGTTCGACGTTAGCATATATAAGAATCTATTTAGTTCCATGCTACAAACGAGGTATACTCGCTGTGGTTTCATGCTATAAAAGCCTATTTCATTGTATGGTTCTACTTTCCTACCCAAGATAGATAATAACGATAATTAAACTTAGTTGGTTCTATATTATTTATTTATCTTTTATATTTTTTATTAGTTTATCATATATTATATTTGATATGTATTCAATTGTGGCGGCACCCGACAACAAATACCGCCACTCGACGCGAACTACAACCGGACGACGGTAGCGCAGTGGTTAGCGCCTTAGGTTACGAGCGTTCGGGATCCGGGTTCGAATTCCGGCGCCCGTGTCCTATCTATATTTCTTCCACGAGCAACACATACACCTCAAATTGGTGACCCTGACGTGATGATGCCGCCACACAATTATTATTTATTAAGTAAGCAAATATATTTCAAATTAAATCATGTTAGGCCTCGTTTTTATCAGGAAAATGTAATAAATGTGTTGGTAAAAGATTCATTCATTCTTTTTATTCCCCGTGGTTGATCGAATGTTGTGATCGTTCGAGATTGGTTGGAATGCCGATAACACCAATTAGTTCCCGTATAATGAAATAGGCTCTTGTAGCGTAGAACTGCTGCAGCCAGTATAGCTCGTTTGTGGTGGAACTAAATAGGTTCTTATATATAATAACATAGAACAACTTCAGCACTTAGCCGCGTGGGTGCAGCACCTGTACTGCAGAACAAGTAGAACAGTGGGTGTGAGCATTCTCATTTCCTCACTGTTCTTGCACCTAGTTGGGTCTAATGTTCAACATTCAGTTCTTGTTCTTGTCTCATCCATAAACGTTCTGTTGTTCCGCGTCGGTGAAGACGAACAAAGACTCCCGTCAATTGAGACGCCAAACTTTGTTTCACAAAATGGCTGATTTTTTACATTCAGAAGCAGAAGAAAGCGAGGTATTTATATCGTTGAGTTTATTATCATTATTTATATAATGCTGTTACAATGATATCATATGTATATCTATATGTATATTCTTTAATCGTTTGAAACTTCTGTCACTAATCGATTTTTTATTAAAATTTAGGAGGAGAAGGAATTAGACGATAATGAGAAAAAGAAACTGAAGAAAATAAAAGCTATGGAAGAAAGTGATGAAGAAGAAGAGGAAGGTGAGGATAGAATAATACATTCCAAGGTTCATACATCATAATTTTTTTTTAAATTTTTATGCATCTAAATACAGTAATATTTCATTTATTTTATTCTATAATTAGTAAATGACCATAATATGCTTATCATTTATTTACAGATGATGAGGATCGTTTACGGGAGGAACTTAAGGATCTCATTGACGACAACCCTATAGAAGAAAGTGAGGGAGATGATAGTGATGCTTCTGGAATATCTCAAAAACGTAAAAAAAGTGATGATGAGGACTTTGATGATCGTTTAGAAGATGAAGATTATGACTTGATAGAAGAAAATTTGGGAGTCAAAGTTGAAAGAGTAAGTGCAAATTGATGCATTTATTTAAAGTATGTAAATTTATATATGAAGTACAAATGAAGTGATGTACTTCTTTACTTTAGAAACGTTTTAAACGCCTCCGAAGGATACAAGATGAGGAATCAGAGGAGGAACAGGAAAAGGAGGCAGACGATGATAGAGATGCTATTGCAAACGAACTTTTCGAAGGTTCTGGCGATGTAAGTTATATTACTATTAAAATATCCTAGTCCAAAATTTGTATTTCTTTCTATTACATACCCAATATTTTTGCGCTTATTTCTGTCTTTACATCAGGAAAGGGAGATTGCTATGGTATGTAAAAATGGACATAAAAATACCTTTGAAGAAAAATTGTTTCATTTATTCTGTATCTATTCTTTTTCGTTTCATTCCCCATTTTTATCATGTGTTAGGAAGATGAAAGGCGGAGCGAACGTAGTCACAGACCTGAAGTCGACACATTTGACGAGGAAGGAAGTGAAGGAGAATACACAGACGCTGATGATTTTATTGTTGACGATGATGGTAGACCAATTGCCGAGAAACGCAAAAAGAAAAAGCCAATTTTTTCTGATGCAGCTTTGCAAGAAGCACAAGACATTTTTGGTGTTGATTTTGATTATGATGAATTTGGTAAATACGGCGAAGAGGACTATGAGGAGGAAGAAGAGGAAGAAGAGGAAGAAGAAGAAGATGAATACATGGACGATGAAGACGCCGAGAGACCGCGAAGGCCGAAAAAACAGTTGAAAAAGAAAACTACGAGAAAAAGTATTTTCGAAATTTACGAACCAAGCGAACTTAAACGCGGTCATTTTACCGATATGGATAATGAAATACGGAACACAGATATACCGGAGAGAATGCAACTTCGTACTGTTCCTGTTACACCAGTTGCAGAGGGTTCTGATGAACTAGACTTAGAGGCAGAGTGGATCTATAAACAGGCGTTCTGTCGACCAACTATTTCAATTCAAGATGCACACCTAAACGCTGAGGCTAAAGAAAGAGCTCGGAAAGGGCCTCAAACGATCGGTAAAATTAAAAAAGCTTTAGACTTTATGCGAAATCAACAATTCGAAGTACCTTTCATATCGTTTTATAGAAAGGAATATGTCCTACCGGAACTAAACATTAACGATCTCTGGAAAGTGTACAAATTTGACGCCAAGTGGTGTCAACTTCGTCAGAGAAAAGAAAATTTATTAAAATTATTTGATAAAATGCGAAATTATCAGTTAGATGAAATTATGAAAAATCCTGATGCACCATTACCAGATAACGTACGATTGATTAAAGATGACGACATAGAACGATTGAAAAATGTGCAAACCAGCGAGGAACTAAATGATGTTTATCACCACTTCATGTTATATTATAGTCATGAGATACCAGCAATGCAGGAAGCTGCTCGTCAGAAGGAGAAAGAAGCACGGAAAGAAGCAAAGATTCAAAAACGAAAACAACAAATTGCGGATGCTGAGGAAAACGGAGAAGATCCTCTGCCGGAAGAGGAGGCGGACGTAGAGGAAGAAGAGGAAACAGATGAAACATTAAAACAGGCTGTTCGGACTGGTCCATATTCTATTTGCAGGCGGGCCGGCCTTGATAACCTCGCAAAAAAGTTCGGTCTCACTCCCGAACATTTTGCCGAAAATTTACGAGACAATTATCAGCGACACGAAGTAGATCAGGAGCCAACGGAACCTTTAACCATTGCTAATGAATACTGTAGTCAAATACTTAGTAGTTCGGAAGAAGTACTAAAAGCTGCTCAATTAATGGTAGCTATTCAATTAGCACGTGAACCTTTGGTAAGGAAGTGTGTCCGAGAAATGTACATGGAAAGAGCAAAGATATCTGTAAAACCTACAAAAAAAGGAATCAAAGAGATCGACGAAAACCATCCAGTTTATGGGATGAAATATTTGAAGGATAAGCCAGTGCGAGATCTGGTTGGAGATCAGTTCCTAAATTTGGTTATAGCCGAAGAAGATAAATTAATTACGATAACATTGAGTGATAGTATCGAAGGGAATACTAGTAACAACTACGTTGACGAAATGAAACAACTTTACTACCGAGACGAGTTTAGTAAAAATGTCCAGGATTGGAACGCATTGAGAGTTGGGAGTGTTGAAATGGCACTTACACGTATTGTTTTACCGAGTCTAAAGAAAGAGCTAAAAGCAAATCTTATTGCAGAAGCTAAAGAATGCGTAATGAGAGCATGTGGTCGTAAAATGTACAATTGGATTAAAGTTGCTCCTTATACCTGTGAATTTCCAGAGGAAGAAGATGAGGAATGGGATACTAGTAAAGGACTTCGGGTAATGGGTTTAGCTTATGTCCCAGAATACTCTCAAGCCGCATTCACTTGTCTAATCGCACCGGATGGGGAATGTACAGATTATTTGAGATTGCCACACATAATGAAACGAAAGAATAGTTACCGAGAGGACGAGAAAACCATGAAAGAAGCCGACTTGTTAGCAATTCGAAATTTTATAGCAACAAAAAAGCCGCATGTTGTAGTTATAGGTGGTGAATCAAGAGAGGCAATGATGATCGCGGCTGATATTAAAGAATGTATCGCGAACCTAGTAGAAGAAGAACAATTCCCAAACATTAAGATAGAAATTTGTGACAATGAATTGGCTAAAATTTACTCGAACAGTAATAAAGGTGTATCCGAATTTCGGGATTATCCGGAATTATTGCGACAGGCTATCTCATTGGGCAGAAGAATGCAAGATCCCTTGGTGGAATTTTCTCAATTATGCACCGCTGACGAAGAAATTTTATGTTTAAAGTATCACAACTTGCAAGATCAATTGCCGAAAGACGAACTTTTGGATAATTTATATTTAGAATTCGTGAATCGTGTAAACGAAGTTGGTGTTGATGTGAATAAGGCGGTACAACAAGCTTATTGCGGGAATTTAGTTCAATTTGTGTGTGGTTTGGGGCCGAGAAAAGGACAGGCATTGATCAAAATGTTGAAACAAACCAATCAAAGGTTGGAAAATAGAACTCAGCTTGTAACTTCTTGTCACATGGGACCTAAGGTTTTTATTAACTGTGCGGGTTTTATCAAGATAGATACAAACAGTTTAGGAGACAGCACCGAAGCATATGTCGAAGTCCTTGATGGGTCTCGAGTACATCCCGAAACGTATGAATGGGCGAGAAAAATGGCAGTCGACGCTTTAGAATACGACGACGAAGATGCTAATCCAGCTGGAGCACTGGAAGAGATTCTCGAATCTCCTGAAAGACTGAAAGATCTTGATTTGGACGCGTTCGCGGAAGAACTTGAAAGACAAGGTTTTGGCAATAAATGTGTCACTTTATATGATATCAGAGCAGAATTAAATTGCAGATATAAAGATTTACGTGTACCATATCAGTCACTGAGCGCAGAAAGGTTGTTCGATATTCTAACGAAGGAAACCCCGGAAACATTTTACGTAGGGAAATTAGTCTTGGCCACAGTAATAGGGATAAGCCACAGAAAACCGCAAGGTGATCAATTGGATCAAGCCAATCCCGTAAGAAATGACGAAACTGGATTGTGGCAATGTCCATTCTGTTTGAAAAATGATTTTCCGGAATTATCCGAAGTATGGAATCATTTTGACGCCGGAGCTTGCCCCGGCAAAGCTACTGGCGTGAGATTAAGATTAGATAATGGAATATCTGGTTATATTCATATAAAAAATTTATCTGACAGACACGTTGCGAATCCTGAAGAGAGAGTAAACATAGGACAAATAATACATTGTCGGATAATAAAGATTGAAGTGGAGCGATTCAGCGTCGAATGTACAAGTAAAAGTAGCGACCTCGCGGATAAAAATCACGAATGGAGGTACGTAAATGTGTCCGTATGCGCGAACGCACGTGCGTGCGTGTATATGTGCGTGCGTTTGTTTTAAAATGTTATTTTCTCTAATTATTTTAATCTTATTTTTAGACCACAAAGAGATCCGTTTTATGACACAGAAGCAGAACAAAGAGATGCGAAAGTCGAAGAAGATGCCAAGAAAGCGAAGCAACGGCAGACATATGTGAAACGCGTAATCGTGCATCCTTCTTTTCACAACATCAGTTTTGCAGAAGCTGAAAAATTAATGCAGACTATGAAGCAAGGGGAAGCAATAGTTAGACCGAGCAGTAAAGGTGCTGATCATTTAACTGTCACATGGAAAGTTACTGATGAGATTTATCAGCATATCGATGTTAGAGAGGAGGGAAAAGAAAATGCCTTTTCTCTCGGTCAAAGCTTGTGGATTGGAAACGAAGAATTCGAGGATTTGGATGAAATTATTGCGAGACATGTTAATCCTATGGCTGCATATGCTTCGGAATTATTGGACTTTAAATATTATAAACCAGCTGTAGAAGGCATTAAGGATAAAGCGGAAGAGATATTAAAAGAACAAAAGAAGGAAAATCCTGGAGGAATTCCGTATATAATATCTGCTGCAAAGGTTAGTAAGATTCGTTTTCAAATATGTTCGGACGTGCAATAAGATTCGAACATTTCGTGTACGTTTTTGCATTGTTTCAGAACTATCCTGGAAAGTTTTTGCTATCTTATCTTCCGCGAACTCGATGTCGTCACGAATATGTAACAGTATCACCAGAAGGATTTAGATTCAGAGGGCAAATGTTTGGTAGAGTGAGCGACTTGTTCCGATGGTTCAAAGAACACTTTCGTGATCCGGTACCTGGACAATCTACTCCTAGTACTCCACGTGGAGCAATGACATCTAGAACACCTTATCATACAACGCCAGGAGCAGTGAGTGGTACGTATTTCAACTTTCATCAATTTTTCAAAATTGTTTGACATCAACATTATTGTAATATTATAGGAATGAATCAAGAAGCCATACAAAGAGTGGCGCAAAATCTTCCGCATCATATGTTACATTCTTTATCGCAAGTGGCGAATCAGACTCCTCATCATTATCCACCACACACACCAGGAACTGCGAATGCCGCTGGTTATGGTGGAGTTCATACTTATCCTAATACTCCATACACACCTTCGGGACAAACACCTTTTATGACACCATATCAAACGCCACATCATACTCCACATCATCATGGTCAACCAACTCCAAGATATGGGCAACAAACACCTAATCATCAGCAAGGTCCTTTCATTCATCCACCTCCACCTTCAGGGATAACTTCTACAGGACATCACAGATCAACACCATCGCATAGACCTACGCCTCCAATGTCAACACCAGGCGATCCTATGGATTGGAAAAAAGCAGCGGAAGCATGGGCACGATTAAAAAGTGGACCACGTGTGTCGTAAGTATTTGTTTCTTCTTTTTGCATTTCTTTTGACTTATATAATTTTTTTATGCGTTTCTTTCTTTTATTTAAATTCTTTCCCTCCCCGCCTTTTTTTTAGTACCTCTACTCCAAGATATGAAGAATCTAGGAGAACTCCACGAAATTACGAAGAATCGGTTGGAAGAACAACGCCGCGAAATAGAACTTCGAATCGGACACCTTCTTATAAATCTCCTCGAGGTACACCACACACTAATTCAAGTCCTCGAAGTATGTCTCTTAGTGGAGATGGTACTCCTTTATATGATGAAAGTTAACAGGTTCGCTTATACATAATATATCATACTTTCCGATTATATCATATCATGTGATATAAAAAGAAAGATCTTGATAGAAGTTGTAAAAGAATCACGACCTATATCTCATTCAAAATGCTCTTAACGTTGAGCATTAAAAGTACTGTATAAAACCATTTACCGAGCCCAGTTATTAACTTTAACAGCATTTTCTTTTACGTTCATATATTTAAATAAACAATAAAACATATATATATGTATCGCATATGTGTGTACGTGTGCGTGCATACACACGATACATAATATATATATATATATATATTATATATGTATATATATGTTATATTATTAAACTACATACTCGATTGTCTTTAAAAAATATATATATTTATTTATACATATATATACATATATATATATTGAGTGCAATGTAAAAAGTAAAACCTTGAATTTTTCTTATATTTTTATTTAGCATATATTAATTCATATAAAAGTTATATATTTTTATTTGAATTTTAATTTTATTGATGCTGGATTATTGTACAGTTCTTATGTTTTTAACTTAGAAATGCAGCATGTTTCTTACATACTTTATATAATTGTTAAATTACACCATTAAACAATAAACTCAATTTTATCTTGTAAGTTTACTTAATTTTTCTAGTAAGTAGTAGTACATATAATATCCTCTTTCAATTGAAACAAAAATAAACAACATATATCAGCAAACGAACAATAGTCATATATCTGTTTTTTTATTTAAAAATGTAACAAAACACTTACACTATATTAGTCATAACTGTAAAACGTGCGTATAAATAAAATTTTTTCAACGTCGTATTGCTTTATACATGAGAGACTTGATCATCTGATAATATGTCGTTTTTACCTGCAACATCTTGATAATACGTATATACTACATCACGATATTTTCCAGCTGATGGCTGATTTCCAAGACTGAATAAATATACGGTATCAATACTATTGAATGTAAGATCACAAAATTGATATTATAACTGTAAATACCTTACATTTGTTTAGGAAGAGTGCTAAGTGACGTATTCGGTTCGATATCTTTTCTCGTGTTTGATCTTGCTTTTGTCGGTTTCGTTGTAACAAGATTTATGCGAGATTCATGCTACGAAAATAATGTAATTACATACTTGGTAATTTTATAAAATGTATTGATAAATATAAATGTCATTGAAGAATCACTTACCAAATTTTCAACATTTATGGATTCTACATCGTCTTTACTTATTATATTTCCGGAATTAAATGTCATTTTCTGATTCTACTAAAGTAAAGAAAAAGATTAGAAACCTATAGAAAGAGAAAGACAAAGAATTAAATAAGTGATATTACCTCATATGCGGGAATATTTTTATCATCACTGGAAACGTTTGATTCTGATACTTCTTGCAAAGCTTTTCTCTTACTTCTTGTTACAATCCTTGTGGGTCTGTTGTGTCCGATTAATTTTGTATCATTTTTAGTGGGTTTAACCAATTTCTCCGGTGAAATTGTAGGTACATTCTACGATAATAAATTTAGCACTTTCTTGTAAAGCTCAGCACATTATAACGATTACATTAATTAATTATAGTTGTTACCTGTGCCAATATGTTTAATTGTTTGTTTTTGCTGCTATCACTTCTGTTTTTCCTCTTTTTTACGTCGTTGCTTTTAGCAGAAGACTTATGAGGAGAAACTATTAGAGAGTTTTGAGAAGTACCAGGATTATATACTGGATTGTTGTCTTTTAGAACAATGCGCTCTCCTGAAAATGGTAAAGGCTCAAAAATAATCATGTCATGTATGATATGTATCATTTTATAGATAAGAAAAAATAAATCTTTATTTCTTACCTCTCCAATAACTTAATGGAGGTATTATTCTTCTACCTTTTGAACTCACACCAACATTTATAATGTGTACCGAATCGGTAATATCAGCTTAAACACAAATAATTTCTCTATTTAGAATTTGAAATAGATACATACTTCCAATATCATTGATTACTTATTGTTATTATTATTATTATTTATCACGAGCTTACCATTTTCTAATGATTTCCATATTTCACAAAACTGTTCTATATTGGTGGGGCAACCATAACGACACTGGTTCACCAACTCTTTAGGTACAACTACATGAAATAGAATAATATCGTTAATATATAAAATATAATTATAAATATTTTAATGTTATTAAATATTATATTTCAAGTTCTAACCATGTTTCGTATCATTTAAGTCACCAATTAATTGATAAAATTCATGATGAATTGTCTCGACCAATTTTTGTGATACTCGGCGAAATATTATATCCGTTTTAAATTTCCTATGTATGATGTGGCCAACTTCGCTACATAAATATAATAATATGTTTTATACCAAATTAATAATGTGCATTATACAATTTAATTACTTACTTTAATAATTTTCCCTCAAAAATTAAATGTAATCCTGATTTGGATAAAATGTTCGGTGTCCAAGCAGATAATAATTTCGGTTTACAATTATTCATAAATTTATTATCTCTAGAAACTTTTAAATTATCCTGTAATGACTTTTTCAAAATAATAGGATCGACATTACTCGATTGAATGTTACTGCATTCTTCAGAATATTGCGTACTATCAGATAATAAATTTGAGTTCGTTATTGAAATAGCATTAGATTTCATAGAAGACCTTTTCTTTGTCAAATTTCTATTTTTAACTTTTTCATTTAAATCTTTAATGGCCTTATTTTCGTCCTTAATTACATTTACCTTTGGATCTTGTAAAAAACGTAATTGTGTATTTCTAATTTTTATATCAATAGGAACTGAGCTAATTACAACAGGCTTCGTCATTTCAGTCATGGTATTTTTTGGATGTAATAATAATTCTTCATATTTTTGACAGGATGAATGATTTTGATATTGATTGTTCTTATGTCTGCTTTCCTGTATGTAAGAATTCGTTTGCGTCATTATATTATTGCATTTTTTAGCCATAGTAAACTCAGGATATGTCTGTTCAGGATCAGGATTGTCTGTTGTATTTTTATTAGAATACTGCAAATAGTTGATAGGTTTATTAATAACTGTTGAATTCTGTTGTACAGAATGTTTCTGGATTTCCTGTGTATCTTCGATTTTCGTAAAATCATTTGGTTTTCCCCATTGTTCTCTTCCCATGATATCAGATTTCATATATTTATCTACATCATTTTGAATATTTGAGCTTATATATCCCTTTACTTTTAAATGAGCCCTCTCGTCTTCTATAATACTGATACTAGAATCATTAAAATTTGTGACATTTTCTTTTTCAGACCTTATTGTTTTTATATAGCTTCCATTATTGTTATCTGACATAATTGATGATGCGTTTGAAATATGTTGTTTTTCTATGGCATCATGTTTTTGATACATTGTTTTTTTTTGTATTCTACGTTTACAAGGCTTCAGTAATATGTTTTTCTGTCGTATTATTCGATTTATCGGTATCCTTGGAACCCCTACATAAATTTCATTTTCACTATCGGAAGTACTGATATCATTATTTTTACTCATTTCCGCAAAAGTTCTCTTTCTTCGTAATGAATTGTTATGATTTGCAACTGTACTATTTACAGAACGTTGCAGTGAAATTGATTCAGATTCTACCCAATTTTGAGACTTATCATTTATCCCATTATATCGTTCTTCCACTACATGTTTATCTCCTTTCAATTTTGAATTTTCAATATTAGATCCATTATATTTAACTGTCCCGTATGATACAACATAATTTAAGCAATCAAATATTTCAATAATTTTACCCACACACTCTTCATCACAATTTTTATCTGTTAAGTTGTTTACAATAACGTTCAATTTATCCTTCAAACTGTTCACTGTAGTTTTAGTGCAATTCAAATTTATATTTTCTTTATCATTATCATATTGATTTTTTAAAGATTGAATGCTGACTTCTCTGTAAGGCGAGTTCTTAATTGTATCAGATAAACATGTTTGTGTGAATGAATCACTTTTTTGACAGCTACGTGAATTAAGATTTTGTTTTTCCTTTGTTTGCAAAATATTATATGTACAGTCAAGATTAACTGATGCTTCAGATGCATAGAATTCTTCAAAAGGCATCAAATTTGATCTTTTATTCTTAGGGCTTTTTGAATTGAAAAATGTGATATCTGTTATTTCACTTCTTAAATCATCATCGCTATCTGTAATGGGAGTAGGCCAACGAAAAGTTGCACTACATCCTTGCTGTACAAATGTTCTCCAAATTTGATAAACATTTTCCCAATCATCAGGAAATCCACTATAAAATTTACCTCGAACATAATCTGGTAATTCTAAATATAAAGAAATAATATACAATATATACAAAACATAAACATGTGCACACATATATAAATACTATAAGATATTTACCATACTCATCATCAACAATATTTCCTTGCAAGTGATACAAATGTTTAAAAACGGATACTATCTTAGTACTTGTTAATCTTCTTACAATAGGCTTACTCTGAGCAACCTTCCCACTAACATAATAAAATCGATAGTAAATAAATATTAAAAAGCAAATAAATTAAAACTCTCAGTATATATTGCATATCTTACCATTCAATTTTTCCTTTAATAACCAACTCATTTTGTTCATTTAACATAACTTTCCATTTTGTAAACATTCTAACATTTTTATTTTCAAAATTATCACAACTAATTTGTGAGGGAATAAAGCTGTTAATATAGTTTCCATCGTTACTAAAAAATCTGTGATTTCCTTTTTTCTTAGGTGATTCAATGTCAATATCAGAGGAATTACTTCTAATTCGTGGTAAAGATTTTGCATTAGGAGATGTTAAGCTGTTTAATTTCTTTTTGATACAAAAATGATTATTAAAGTTGGGTGGTGGCATCATAAGACGATCTTTTAAACAGTCATTTTCTTCTCGAAACTTCTTAACGCTAGATGTAGCAATCATTTTGTGATTACTATTAATGCCTTTCTTTTTCAACAGTATATTTCTCAAATTATTGCTTGAAGAAACAACTTCACTATCAATTTTGGAAACTTGTAAAGATGGAATATTAGTAGTAGAGTCAAATGGATCTGCATTAATGCTTGAAATACTAGGGGATGTAAGTAATGGCCATGATATATCTTCAGTTCTGCTTCCCTGTCTAAGTGAAGCTAATTTTAAAGTTCGTTCTAATTTTTTGTATCTTTCTTCCATTTGAAAATCGGCAAAGTTTACCTATAGCAATATAAATTTTAAATTTATAAAAAATGTAATTTTCATTACAATATTTAGAATATACTTACCTCAGTCATGTGTGTCATTTAAAAATTTCAATTAGTTATTCACATATACATATGTATATATTTAAAGTTTATTGTTTTTAATTAATTCTTCTTCTGTTCTTTAAAATTTTGTTGTCTTACACTTTCATACCATCTGAGATACACAAACACAATGTAGTTATAATATAGTTCCTATATACTTATTAAGTATTTAGCATAAGGATTTCAATTGATGTTCATCTCAGATGTCTTAACATTGTAATCAACTAATAAATATCGAGAGATACAAATTAAAATGATACACCTACTGTTTAAATTCTAAGACATCAAATCTACGTATATTTAATTTTTTATTTTATTTTATTTTATTATTATTATTTTTCTTTTTTTTTTTTGGTTATATCTAAACCAACCAACATTCGCGCGTAATTTCAAGATTTTCTACCAATTCAAATATAATGCACAACTCACAACGCACAACACAACCGTTTTCATTTCTCAGTGGTTCTCAAATACATTTATGATACATATAAATACAATTACAGTTATATAACTATGGTACGATCAGAGATGAGTTCTTCCAGAGACGACCATTTCTGCTACGACCAACGTTTAATTCATTTTCATCTTTATACGTTATATAGTATGAAAAATAAAAAAATTTTTTAATATTTTGTATTATATTTGTTTCAATAGTCAAGATACTATTAACGAGAATAACTAAATACATTTTTTTTAAAATGTATCATTTCAATTGATATAGAAAGGTTCAAAATTTAATAATAATTACGTTTGTAGAAATAAATTTTTATATAGATGTGTTATTATACCTCTTATTAGATTTTTTTTTAAATTATACAGCCCTGCATAATTAAACAGTAACTATCATCCATACAATTTACATCTCGATTATCTTGGTTCACTATCCAATATCAAGTCATAACCATAAAAACTGCCATACCTGGTAGATTCTAATACGAAGAGCTATTGCGCGGCAATTATAAGTACCGTTGTTTTAAAGAATAATTCTCTATTATGACAACAGCTAATAACTGATTAATTTTTACATTTTTAGTATATATATAAATATCTTTGTATCTTTTAAAATATTTTTTATATGTTTAATGATATAAATTATTCTTATTAAAATTTAATGAAAAATACAAAAAGAGGTTTCAGGTGAAGGAGAGAATAAATAAAACAAAAACTGACATTTAATTATTTTTTTACAATCTTACTAAATAAATAAACATTACAGGACAGTTTTCATGTTTACATCACTTATATTTTATTAAATGTTATGTCAAATTATTTAAAAAATATAACAAAAAATAATCACTGAATCATTCAATTATATGTTAAGTCTCAATTTTATATAAATAATACTAGAAAAGAAAATTATATATGTACACAATACTGAAATATCATACGTGTACATTAAGTGTAAGGTTTTATCATTCAAAGCTTGAGAACATAACATTGCACAAATATCGATTGTAACATTTTCATTGTTATTTGTATTATTACTATTACTATTATTGTAACTATTATTATTATTCATTTTCATGTTCTTTCTAATCATCATTGTGATCATATTTTCTGTCGGAGAGAAATATACTGTCACTTTTCTGATTAAAAATGGTACAGTCATATATTTTTCTATTTATTTTGTAACAGCAGAAATAATCATACAAGCTAATACTTTTGTATCCATTAAGCACGAATATTTTGTTTTTATATTAGTAGTCTATAATGAGTAAAATTTGACTAGATTTTTACATTAAAGATTGCGTAATTTTAATTTGATATTACGACTATCCTACTCCAAGCTGTATGCATATAACTAATACTATCTTATTAAAGCAGATATAAGAAAACGTAGATTGTTCTTTTATTAACAAATATACCGTTGTTAGAGTCTTTCGTAATTGTTCGTATATAGGTAAAGAATAGGAAGTCTGCTACATAACTAGTATATTAACAGACTACTTTTGTTTTATGATTTACCACCCGCAGAATTATCAGCTTCGCTAGATCCTTCTGCTGAATCTGGAAATTCTTTTTGATGACTTTTAGAACTCCTATCCTTGTAATCTCGTCGATGATGATGATGGTGATGATGGTGATGATTTTCACTATCTCTACGATCTTTTTGTGAAATGTTTCCTCTATATTTTCGATTGCTCTCATCGCGATAATAATTACGATGACCACGAGATCGATAACATAGAGATTCAAACATCATCGTATCTAATTTTATATTGCCATTTTGAAGTTGTGGTAACATAGTCGAATCCATCTCCGTCTGATGGTCTGATTTATTGTGTCGATTTCTTCCGTTCCTGCAATATAGTACTATAAATAAACTGTAAAATATATATATGTTGAAATAGTAATAAACATTTTAAGTCCTCATTACCTAAATGACTTGTGATGCCAGTAGCTCTGTAATGGTGGAAATATATGAGGAGTTTGTTCTTGTATAGTGCTCGTAGGTGAGCCGCGACTATGATGACTATTATTACTGTCACGGGATCGAGCTCCTTTATTACCATTCATATTTGGTGATGTTGCTTTCAATGTTGCAATTTGTTCTCTCTGTTCCTCATTTTGTTTGCGTAATCGTTTTATCGCTGCTTCTGTGCCTTCAAAGCATGCAATTAAATGTGCTCGAGGGGAATGAAGTCCTACTTGAATTCCTACATCTATCATTGACTTCTTATTTATCTTTTGTTCTTCTATTGAACTCAACTTTCTGCAATGAACAAAATTATTTTTATAATTTATAATTAAGTACTTCCGATAATTAATGCAACTACTAACTTTTTCTGCTCTTCAATAATTTCAGAAAAATACTGATTTTCTGTTCTAAGTACTTGTAAAGATATTTTGGTATCTTGTAAATCTTTCTCCAAAAGTTCCACTTGTAATGGTGTAACATTCACACATACTGGGCTACCCTGTAAAAGAGAATTTCTAATTAAAGTTCCTGATATCACACATGAGCATATACGCGTATACATCTACATGAAACACGTCAAGACTGTAAAGCATACCTTTGGTTTCACAAACCCACTTCCATTATCTTCAGGAGAAGAAGGACTGCTAGGTACATAAGTAGATCCTTTCGAGAATACTAATTGAAACTGTAAATCTACACATAATTACGAAGTATTAGGGATTTATTTATCCATGGAGAAACAAACATATTATTGATAAAGAATGTTATGATTTACTGCTTACCTCTATTTTTTTGACGTAATGATTCTACTTCTTGGTGTAAAGCCACCAAAGTTGCTTGATGTTGTTCTTGTAAAAATTTCATATTTTGTTCCAGTTGAGCTATTCTATCAATATTTATAGTTTGATGTCTTATACTTTGATTCAATCCTTCATTCCTATCTGTTAATGTTACTATATCTCTCTCTGATGGTGATTTCTTTCCCTAAAAGTAATATGTGTATTATTTAGATGAATATTTATATTTTAAATAAAATATAACTGATACTTACTTGAGGAAACGGTACAGTTGATAATTTAACTAATACTGTAGATGCCATTTTGAAAAAATGTATGTTTACTTGATATATAAGGACATAAATATTAGCAAATTCAATGACATATAAAATCTTTTGCACGCACACACAAACAGAAATCACAGAGATATAAATTACTTTCTTATTTAGAAAAAGCTTTTCTTAGATGTATATCATGTTTTGGAAATCTGAAAAGGTATTACACTATAATTTGAAACAATTCAAATAAAACATCATCTGATATAAAAAATAGAAGAAACATTGAAATATAAAATATTCATATAATGAAATACACTGTTTAAAATGTTTAAATGACTATTAATTTGAAAATTTAATATGTTTTAAAATGCAAATACAGCAATATCGTTTTGTTTCTTAACAGAAAAGTAACATATCGTTTTTCGTTACCATTAAGATCATTCCATAATATTAAATTGTTATTCGGCATATTTTATCATTGTAAAAATATAAGTATTACAAAATGATATGTGACAAGTACAGAAAATAAAAAGAAATAAAAATAAATTAAATCTGCAGAAAGAATGAAGGAATTGTCTTCTTATACATTACCAAATCAGATTTAAATTTCCAGACGTTTTGCGTAATAAAAGGCGAAAAATCGACAACATGCAAGTAATCGGGAGCCTGGTGGATTGTGATTCTGCGCCTGAATTTCCTGACGTCACGTCGAACTAACTAAGGATTGGTTAACGGTTTAGCAACAATTTTGCGGTCACTTACAATAAACTGTTAAGAGAAATTTAGTCGTTTCTAAGAAATAGTTGATTAAATATATTTAGATAAGGAGATTTGAAATTCTTGGAAGCACGTATAGCAATGTATTAATGATATCATAACAGAAGAATAATAAAGGTTGATCGTAATGCTGATTACTTGGATAATTTGAAAAGCAAGCGCGCAAAGGTATAGATCGTCAGGTAGACTATTCAGATACGCAGGACAAAACTCGTTCACAACCATGACACTTGTATTTTCTATATCCTTGCGCGCATGAGTATTGATCCAATGATACTTAACAAATGGTAGCACGCCTTAACCGCACCCAAGCTTTTATCAATACTATTTTAACTTATTTATTTATATTTCTATTCTGTAAATCTTCATGAGTTAAAAATTTGTCCAACTAAAAGAAAATTGCTTAATTTTTAATACATAATCATATTAAGAATCATTTGTCAAAATATTTCTATTGTAAAGTTTCCTGTAGTTTTCTGCACTTAATTGATTGTAATTTCTAACGAAGCAAAAGAATTTTTGTATTGATATAATATTTTCCGATGTATTAAAGAAATTGAACATTGAGAAATTACAATCTAAATTGTGTTTCACTTTAAATATAAGTAAAAATTATTTATATCAACTAAAATAGACGTGTATTTATAAACGTGTGTTTTTAGTTTTTAAACATCTATGTATACATATGTATATATGTACATAGATACATATAATATATAACATTCAATAGAGGCCTAATTTCGATGTAAAAGAATACTCTGAAGTATTTTTGGTATGTTGTCAAAAGATCGAGGTTAAGATGCTAATTTAACTCCTGTTCAAAAACCGAATAGAAGACAATTTTTTAACTTTCTTCTATATTACTATTCGAAACAAATAGGGTTACACCCATTTTCCTCGAGTTCACACATCCTTTGAGATAATTTTTGCCATACTGTCGCGTAAACAAAAAGATTTGATTGTCGCTTCTGCAAAATTTTAATTCATCCTAGAAAAAATGTCTTTTATGGTAGAAAATAGACCAACCAATGAAATAAGCAATAAAGATAGAGAACATTTTCTTTCTTTAGAAGTAACTGAAGATTATAGCTTTAAGGTATTTGTATATGTAAACATATATATATGTATATATATACACATATATAAACATGCAAGCATATTTAAATATATATAATAATTAAAATGGCAAAAATCATTAATATAAAATAATATCTTTTGTTATAGTATATACCTGAAAGTCATTTTAAACACATAGTAAGAAATGTACAGAGACACAGACGCAAAGAGGATGAGGAACGTATATGGGCTTCATTCGTTAAAGAACAGGAGTTAAATAGTTTGAGGTTTGACAAAAAAGATGTTGACTATTCTATACAAAATATGAAAGACCTGTTGCAAGAAAATATACAAAATGTAGATAGAGAACTTAAAAGACTTGAAGAAGATGCCCTCCCTGAACGAAGTAAAGGAATTCGAAATCCTAAATCTAATGTTAAAAATGAAGTGATGTATACAAAAGTAAGTGTTTTGAAGCTTTTATTTTGATCTATGTTATGTGTACCATAATGTGTTAATTCACTATATTGTTCTAACTTACGTCAAATTTTCATTAATTCATCTATGTTAGGTAAACAGCATCGGGGACAATTATTCAAAGGAGAAAACATTAACAAAGAATAGGGGTACATGTAAAACTAATGTTTCAGTTCCAACTTCTCGGGGCAGTAATATTTATATGTATAGTGAATCTGAAGGACAGAAAACAGTTTTTAAATCTAAGGCTAAAAAGTCTTTGTCAGATTCTTCTATCACAGAGAAAAAATGTTATACAAACCAACTTCTTCGTGCAACCAACCATTTTGAGAATAATTCTGATACAGATTCAAGTAATAACAAAGATGATATTGTTTATATACAACCAGATCCATTTACCATACAGAAACTATTATCGATGCAAAAGAAAATTGCTGAACTACTAGATGAAATATCATTTAGATTATGCAGAATTCCTTTACCAGATGGTGATAGTGATTTGAAAAGAAGACAACAGCAAACACTAGAATTTTCTATAAGATTTTCAAGAAATTATCTGTACAATCTTAACAGACTTGTTACAAGCATTCAAAGACATATCAGAGCTATTTCTCCCAGACTAGGATTAAAACAATATAAGAATATTGTATTTCATCAAGATATGATAAAGCAAAAGCTGGTTGCTGCTCATCAATTATTAATACAAGCTCTAACTGCTTATTATAAACATATTCCAAACTCTATTCTTGAGGGTCATTCTACAAAACTTCAAGATGTGTTACAGGTTGTCTACAATCTGATAAATATTTGTGATAAAGTTGAGATTTCTACTTACTATTTCTGTTCAGGAGATACTACAATTATACCGTTGGTAATGCTTAAGTAGGAAATTTTATTATTAATATTTATAAATTATACAATTTATTAAAAATGTATTCTTCTGCAGGGGAAGAATCTTCAAAATAAATGTGATGCTATTTTATCTAAATTAAAGTTAAATTTAGAAAGTAGATATGGATCCACAAGTCACAAGAATGTACAACCTGTAATCACTACTGCACCAATATTTTTACCTAACAAAGGGCGTTGCAATCGCAAGAATCTATCTAATCGGTTAAGCATGTACAGCATGGATGTTAAAATGTCCAAGGGTAATCTAAAGAGAAGAAACGATATAAGAAGAAAAAGTATACGAAAATTATTTCAGATTTTATATTACTTGGTACATATTATTCTAAATATGTTATAACTTTAAGTGTATATTTTGCAGGCTATACTTATCAGAAAGAAAATGAGAATAATACTAAGGAAGTCGGAAATCTATACGCTCAGGATTATACGTTACCAGAACTACTATATCCTAGTCCTATAACGCGTACAACATCTTCCAGGGACGTTGTTCAGATTGATTCCACGAAAAATATAAGTAATTCTAAAGAAGATGACATTCGAACTGTGATGGATGGATTAACAATAGATTCCGAAAATGTAAGACATATTAAAAATAAAATATCTTACGAAGGATTCAACAAAACATTGGGTTTTATAAAATAGGATAGTAATATAGAAATTCGAACTAAGCGTAAACCTGAAACAAATAGTGGACAACAATCGGTCGCAATACGTAAAAAGACATCTACAGAAATGCGAGAGGCGAAAAATACGAAAAGCAAAGGAGTAAATATTGAAGCAAACAATTTTACTAACGAGGAGGATGATTTAATTAAAAAAGTAACTACAATTCCCAAGGAGCATTTGGTTGCACTAGCTCCTGTAATAAACGACTTAGTGGCTCTTGTATCAAAAAAGGTAACACTCATTGCAGTTTATTTTATATTATATATACATATATGCATATATATATAATGAAAATTAATATATTATTTAATATTCACTATTGTGAATTATATTATAGAAAAATGAATTGGAGATGCAATCTGTTTCGGAAACGTCTGTGGAAACATTAAGAGAATTTTTACAAAAATATCAGTCACCTAAAGATTGTGATACTAAAGCTCCTTTAACAAAAACCAGTTATGAACAATCACATTGTAATCTTAATGGGTAAATAGAATACAGTAATAAAAATACACCTTCATTAAGCACAATAAAATTGAATATTTTATGAATTGCGACAGCTTATCTGAAATTAAAAGACACAATGAAAATGTACAATTAATTTGTATATCTTCTATGGGCAAAGTTCCTAAAATGACACATTGTGATGCTTCGTGTCAAGTAGATTATGAAACAGCACTAAAAGTATGTGACATAATATACTCCATCTAATTAGAATAGATAGAAATTATATATGTTTTTTAACAAAATCTCTAGATTATTCATAATGGAAAGGTTACTGATTCAAACATCAAAAATGGAGTGCAGCTTGCTATTTCAGAAGAAACTGAATTACTATTTCTAACATACAGATGTGAATATAAAAAATTGTGTCAATCAAAGCCAATGTATTCTAGCAATACACAAAATAAACCATGGGATATCGTGGCATGGTGAGTATACTATCCTATATATTTCTTACAAATTTTAAATGATAAAAATATTTTTAAACAGGATATCTGATAAATTGATAGAGGAGTTAATAATTGAAATAACAGAAGAGTTACAAATGAATGATGTAATTAAAAAACTGTTTGAAATGGAATTTCAAGAATTATAACAGCGCAACGTTCGTTTATATGGGATTAATATAGTAAATCATATTTACAAACCAAATAATTTTTCAAATGTTTTTTATTCAAAAGTACAACTTTTTAAATAAATTATTACTTTGTATACTAACGTGTAATTTATTTATTCTTTTATGTTAAATCTATTTGTAAAAATAAAATTGGTATCAAAATATTTTAATAAAATTATTAATAAATTAGTAATGGTAATAACATTAATGATAAAGTTAAATGTAATCAAAAGAATTAATCATATATTTTTTTTGTAACTGAAAAATTGCAACTGTGATTATTTGGGCGTGTTTATACATATATATGTTAAAATATTAGAAAAAACTTGATCGGATGATTTATCCCTTAGTAGTAATACGCAACGCTAACATTGGGAGGTTAGTTAGAGATTCGTAGTTTTAATGATCAGAAAATCTAATAATCTAATAGTTTAACGAACGTCAGAAAAATTGTAATTTTAAAATAAAAGTATAAAATGAGACAAACGATTTTAAAATTATACAAAGATTTATTGCGCTATGGTGATAATTTGAAGTATACAGATAAAGAATATTTTCGATACAGAATTCGTAAAAATTTTAAACAAAATAAGCATTTAATTGATCAAATAGAGATTGACTTTCAATTGCAAGTAAGTAATCATAAAATATAATGCATTTTTGTTATAAACTTCCAGTTGCAAATGCGTTTAAATAAAGTAAAACAATATACATTACTTAACGTAAAGGTTATTTTTTTCAGAAAGGACGAAAACTTCTACAAAATCAGCGAGTATTGTAAATCTATAGTTCGTTATAGTGAAATTGAACAAATATAATTATATATTGTTTATAGCAATGCTGAAGCTGTTAAATAGAGCATATAATAATCAATCTTATGATGCTCATATATCGCCATTGATTGTTAAAAAAATGTACGGATTTTTATGTCATGAAGTCAAGAACAATTGGAGTAACCTATTAAATAGCCAGAAACAAATTCGATATAAATCATACAATCGCTTCTTGGATTATTCAAAAGTACCCAGGCTAGAAGAAAATGATTTACAAGAACAACATGTTAGAGGATCTGGACCTGGCGGTCAAGCAACTAACAAGACGAATAATGCAGTAATTTTAAAACACAAACCTACAGGATTAGTTATAAAATGTCATCAAACTAGAAGTTTAGAACAAAATAGAAACATTGCTAGAGAGATATTGTTAAGAAAATTAGATAATTTAGTGAATGGTCTGGATTCTCTGGAAAGTCAACAGGAACGATTAATGAAAAAAGATTCCATTAAGAAGAGACAAAAGAAAAAAAAACTCGCAGATTTGAAGAATAAGTTTATGGAACGCGAGAACTTAAAATAATCGAAAATATAATATATTATTTAAACAATTTGTTGCTCTAGATATTATATAATATCTTATCTAATAAAATTTAAGTCAAACACAATACTATTTTTGTATATTACACAATAACGAAGTATAATATAAATCAAGATAGGATAGGAGCATGTAGAATCTCGTTGTCATTTTTAATGGAAAATTCATATCTTTAATAGTCATCTCTTTTTTGAAATCGCGAAAGGCTTACATTATTTTTCATTGAAATAAAATATTTAGATATACTCTCGCAAAGGAATTCAATATATATATATATATATATATACATATACATACATATACATATACATACATACATATATATTGAATTATATCTTACACTCAATGATGCGTTTTGTGACAGAAAATTATGATTTGCTATAATGAAGCTTGTTTACAGCACAGCGCATTCTAAAGCCTGGTTTTACAAATAAAAATAATTTCTTTTAGATGTACACATTTTTTGTACATATACCGAAATAAGAAAATAAAAGAAAGTACTTTCTTTAAACACAGATATATATATACATACGCCAACTTTCTGATTCAAGAACGCAAAGACTGCACCAAAATATCAATGTACAAGGTTCTTAATAGAACTTTAGAAATCGGAAAAGGACATGAAGGAAAATATTAATAAAACCCTATCGATGGTGCGCCAGTAGTGTTAAATACTATTCTACATACACAAATATTTTATACATAATTTACATGTTGGTAGAACATATAGATTAAATTTTAACAACGAGATCGTATAAAAGACTGAATCTCGATTTTAAAATTTAAACTATAACGAAAGTCGTATTGAGGACTTCAGCTACTTTTTAACCACCTTCCGAATTGACCACGATTGGTCTTTAAACGTTTTTTCGGCGGTTGAGTATTCGATCTCGGAGAACTGGAACTTCTTAACCGTCTGTTGCTTGCAATCGTTACCGAGAGAATACTGTGGTCCATTTCAACTTGATCGTCAATCTTCATCATTCTAACAACTGGTTGAAACTCAATACTCGAACGTCTTTGTTCAAGTTCTGAAGTAGTTATAATCGTAGGACTGACATGTCCCGATAATGCACAATCGACTTCAGAATTTTGTGTTTCCGATGACATGGTATCGGCTCGTCGTTTTGTACCTTTTATAGTTTGTTGCTTTCTACATGTAATACTTAAATAGGAATCCTTTTTACAATTCTCATCTTCGAACACTGTATCTGAAGATATGTCAGTTTTTCTCGTCCGTTTCTTCGCGCAAATTCGTTTTCGCGAAGTTACTCTGTTCCTTTTATATACATTACTATGGTGAAGGTGGTGATGGTGATGATGATGGAGGCGATGATGCTGTTCAATTTCAGAGTCAGAGTTTTCAGAATGAGTCTTCTGTTGCCTCTTTCTCGGTAATCCGTTAGTATTATGATGTTTCCTGGAAACAATTTTGGTCTCGGCGTCCTTTCTACACAATATCTCATGATTTTCGAGTTCTACACGAGATTCGCAAGTTTCAGAAGATGTGTTGTCATGTTGTCGTTTCTTGATGGTTGCGTTCGAGATAAAACGACGTTCCGATATAGAATGAACATCTTTCCGAAACACGTTCTCGTGATTTTCATCGTTTCCGTGATCATTTTCTGACATTTCTTCGATCTTCGACAAATTTTTTCTGAATCCATAGTCTTTGTTCAATATGAAATTCCTGTCAGTCTCGTTGCATATATCAGATGTAAGTGAACCTGTGCAGGATTCAGCATTTGTTGTATGTAACATGGAATTATCAGGAACCGCTATACTTACGTCTTTCTTCTCGTTTTCGTCGTGACGCGTGTTAGAAGAAATATTCGAGGTATACACTTCGAATAAACGTCCGTCGTCCTTCCTCTGGCCGAAGCCTAATGACTGTTCATCTTGTGTGATGGAACTCGTAACGGATGTAGCTATTTTAATATTACCTTCTTCCGTTAATCTGTTAGACATATTCGTGACCTGCACATTACAATCCTTCTCGCTTTGCCCTATATTTTTCTCCACTAGGTTTTCCCTGTCACAGTTTATGTCTGCCAGAGGTTTGCTTTGGAGTCTTCTCTTCATTTTAATTCCAGGCCATCCGGTTCTATTTTTCCTCTTCTTCCTTCGTTTTAAAGGTGACTCGACACTTCCCTCACCACACTCGGAACTTGCACATGATGAATTTTCTAAACAGTTTACGATATCGTGACAACTGTCCAATAATTCAAGCAAGTTTGGAGGTGGTCCTCTTGGGATATTTGGTTCATAAAAATTCAATTCCATCTGTGTTGTATCAGGCTCGAACGATTCAATCAACTCGAAACTATCGTTTGCGTTATTAAGCATCTCGTCGATACTTTTTACCATTTCTTTTAGATCTTCATCCACATCAGATTTCAACTCAGTTTTCTGATCAGGTCTGGGAGTATTTGCATGTGACCTGATGGATTGGCATTCATCTATTGTGTACAAATTCGAAGATTGTTGTTGCTGTTGTTCTCTTTTTCTTATAATTGTTGACATAATAGCTAATGTGGAAGCATGACAACGAGGACTTTTCCTAGGAGATCGTCCAATACAACCTATACTCCGTCCGCGACCTTTTCTTTTATTTTCCGCTCTATTTTGGTTTTTTATCAAAATTTCGTGAAAATTTTCAATTTCATATGGTAAAAGAAATGGCTTTTGTGAGTCCCCTTCGCTAAAATAGTGCCAAAATTCTGCTCCTTCATCTTGCCGCTGATACGTTTGATACCATGGTTCAGACTTTGGTACGGCTTCAAAAGAAAATTGCATTTTTTCAACTTCTGGTGAGGGTTTGGACGGATACACCTTTGCTATTTCTATACCTTTCTCGACAATACTACCTTCTATTTCTTCCTGATTTTCTTTAATACCAGTTAGAGGCGCCTGATACCTTAATCTGCTCCCAGGAGTTTCGAATTTGTAATAATCAACATTATCTTTGATCAGCGCTTCTGCTTGTGTCCGTCTTTTTTTTCTAGCTCGTCCCAAACTTAAAGAGTCTTGAGAATCGTCTTCGGTAGTTTCCGATTTTGCAGGTGAACTAGAAGTTAAGAATGAACTAGGACAGATAGAATTGCCGCTATCGTTGCACTCACTTTCAGTATCCCTTGGTAATACGCTACTCTGTTCGTCATCGCTTATTTCACTTGAATCATCTCGTTTAAGTTCCCTAAACATAAAAGACTCCGCTTCATCGCTTAGTAATGATAGTTCCGACTTTCTTACACGTTTAAATCGTACAACTACTGGTTTCTCACTAGATGGCACTTCCTTCTTTTCTTCACTATCCCCATCCTTTTGAACTGTACATTGAGAATTATTGTTTGACAATACACTTGATCTTAACTTACTTCCTAACACTTCCACTTTATAATATGCACGATTATCTTCAATCAAACGTTCTTCAACGGACAACCTGTGCCGTCCTCTGACGCTCCGACTACCTCTTCTATTTGACTTGCAACATTTTGATTTCTCTTCTTTTGCTACTTCGTTCTTTTCTGTATTATTCAGTGTTCTATTAATTTTCTGTTCATCCCTTACAGAATGACCATTACAGATTGTGCCTGTATTGATATCATTGTGCTCTGATAACCTTTTTGCACTTGATGGAGTATTTTCTAACTGTAATTTGCAAGTCAATTCTTTTAAAGTTTCGTTACCAGGCGAAACTTTACAAGGTTTAATACGACTGTTATCATTT